CCCCCTCCGGCCAGCAGGGGACACTGCAGACACTGACAGCCCTCCACGCTCCCACAATGCACTGGGCCATCACTGTCCCTCCCCCAAACTCTCCTCCATGCCCCTTGGCAGGGGGTCTGGCCGACATGGGATGGGGGCGCGGGGTCCCCCGGGGCACAGTCTGCCCCCCACTCACCGCTCGTCGTATCTGGAGGTGTCGTCTCGGCCGGAGTGCCTGATGTTGACATCTGCACCACCCCTCCGGGTGCCCCCCAGGCCACCACCTACAAAGAAAGCGCAGCTCTTCAGTCCCCTGCCCCCGGCAGGGATCTACGGGACCAACTCAACACCCCCCTGGCTCCCCCCAGCGGAGGGAAGGGGGGGCACTATACGCCTCAAAACAGTACGCTGGCACCCCCATATTCACCACTGCCCTGTACTTATGCTCGGCTGTGTACTGCCTGGTGAGGTCTCGCTCGGCTGACCATTAAGATCCTATTGGACTGTAGGAAGTTGGCTAGGGGGGTGTTACTGAAATAGGTGGCGAGGTTGGGAACACCCACAACCAGCCGTTCAGGTACCACAGCGTGGCCGGCCCGGGAAGGGGAATCCACACGGCTCAGGACCGTCGCGGGATCCGTGGCCAATGAAGACACAAGGGAGGCTGCTTGACTCATGTCCTAGCACAAGATCTTTCCAGCAAGCTGGAGGAACCTAGAACCGAGGGGAAGTGACATCATCAGTTGTCCTCACTCCCCGGGCTGGATTAATGCAGGGGCGGCAGGGGCTGCAGCCCAGGGCCTCGGGCTAAGGGGGGCCCCCGCAGGCCTGGATGTGGCCCGCTGCTTCTTTTCATCCGGCCCAGCAAGTCCCCGAGCCTCGGCACCCCCCCGGGCTTGGAGCTGCGAGTGCCAGCTCGCCGACGTGCCCCTACGGCCCCTAGGCAAGGGGCGTTCAGGGAATCTGCGCGCTGCCCCCGCAGCTCCCATTGGCCAGGTGCCACGGCCAATGGGAGCTGCAGGGGCGGTGCCTGTGCACAGCGGCAGGGCCTCTCTGCCTAGGGACCGGACATGTCGGCCATTTCGGGGAGCAGAGCAGCGCAGAGCCAGAGATCCTGCCTTAGCCCTGCTGCGCCACCGCCCAAGGTAAGTGCCTCCCAGCCAGAGCCTGCACCCCAACCCCAGCCCTGAGCCCACTCCAAACCCCCAGGGGCCCCACAAAATCTAATAGCCCCAGGCCCACAGGAGAGCTAATCTGGCCCTGCTCACACCTCAACACCTGGAAGAACATCTGGACAACAAAGACTTTGAACGGGGGAGGTGGTCCCAGGCTGGAAAGGAGAATCTACCATCAGGGTGAGATGATGCTCGATTCAAACCCTGTCTAGTTTATGGAACTCAGATGGTGGTGGGAGGGCGGTGGCCCGGGGCAGCGCCCAGGACCAGCTGTCTGGGTCCACACCGGCCACTGCAGAAGCCACAGAGGGCCCAGAATCCGTGACTTCTGTGAAAGACTTGCAGCCTTACTTATAATCACTTAAAATCTCTTTCTGCCATTAGTAAATCGGTTTTGTATTTGATCTAGAACGGGGTGCTTTGCTCGCAGCGCAAAGGGGACTCCGCTCAGCGTATAAAAGCTGGTGCACGTCCTGGCCACGCTGGGGGACGGGTGGACTGGGTTAATCAACTTACACTGCTCAGACTTCTGACCAGGGTAGGACCGTACAGCTCTGGGGTCTTAGGCTGGGGAGAACTGGCTGGTGTCCCCCCGCCTGTGGGTGGCTGTGTGAGTGCAGGACCTGGAGGGGTTTGCAGCTTGTCAAAGGGAGCCTGGGGTGGTTAGACAGAGGGCTCAGCGGTACCCCTGGGGAACCCGTCACAGGCTGGGTGGGGAGCTCCCGGCAGGGGACGCCGAGGGGTGTGCCGATTCCCTCCAGGTTATGCCACGGCGCCGCAGGCCTGACATGGGGTCGCTCTCCCCGCTCTGCGTTCCGGCGGGGCAGGTGCAGGGCGTGGGGGAGGGGGTCCTTACTCACCCAGCCTGCGGGGACGCCAACCCTTGACTGTCCGGCCTCTCTCCACGTCCACCAGCACCCTCCTGCCGTCAATTTTCTTGCCGTCTGCGTGCTTGTATGCCGCTGTAACAGATTGGGGTGTCCACAAGGGCGGGGGGGGAGGGCGCGTCTGTTAGGCACGGAGCTCACACACAAGCCCGCCCGCCCCCCACCGGACACACACAGCTCCCCCCACCTGCCCCGTGGCTCCCCAGAGCCGGCCGAGGGGCTGCCCCACCCTGCCGTGGGGTAGCTTGCCCCGAGGTTCCCGCCCCCCCGTGCTGCCTAGACTTCAGCAGCTGGGTCCACGCCAGAGCACAGGACGCCCCGACCCCGTCGAGGCCGGAGATCCGCAAGCCACGGCTGCTGGGTTGAATGGAGCAGCCCCTCGCCCCCCAGCCAGCCCCCCAAAGCTGCAAGGAAAGGAACGTTACCGACAAGTCAAATACCTGCGTTTGCCCCCTGCCTCCTCCCCGATGCCACGCTCGCTGCGTGGGACCCGGGCAGCCCCGTGGGGGGTAAACCCCTACAAGATGGGGATATACCGCCCACCGCTGCTGCCCACCCCCCGCCCCAGCCAGCCAGCTAGCTAACCCCGAATCCGCCATGCATCCCCCCCAAAGCAGGAGGTATTACACCTACAGGAAGGAGGGAGAGGAATCTGTGTACAACCAGGGGTAGTACGCGCAAACGTTTTCCAGTCTGGTACCCGGCTGGCACTCCCCCCGCCGCCCCCCGCCAGTCACGCCCCTGCCGCCCCCCCGCCTGTCGTCACCAGAGGAACAGAGTACAGATCCCTACGTGGCGGCTACAGATGGCACCGAGGCAACAGGGGGGGAGGAGGGGGCGCTAGACGGGCACCGCTCACGAGAAGGAAATAAAAGCGTTTACCTGGAGAAACTACTTACAAAACATTTCAACTTAGCGCCTCAACTCAACGCATCAGGCTGCTAGCGTGGGCGCAAGAGGCTGGGCTCCGCCCCCGTGCCCCCGGCCGGGGCACTGGCATTTTGGGGGGGTGGCGTGGCTGCCAAGCGACACCTCGCTGCCTTACCTGTCTCGGCAGCGGCGTAGGTGCACCCCCCACGGGAGGTACAGTCCCCCTGGCCCCGCCCGCCCTCCTGCCCCCAGCAGGAGCTGGGGCACTACGGCATTGAGGGGACACTTACCAGCCCCACAATGGCTCAGCTAGAGCCCCTGCCCGGCCTGCCGCCGGGCCGGGGCAGGATTCCTCCCCTGCCCCCTCGTTGCCAGCTGGCTGTCCACTCAGCCAGAACCCCGAGGGGGCAGGGCAGAGCACCCTAGCCACAGGGACGGGCCCCCCAGACCACCTCTGTCCAAGGCACTTGTGGGGAAACCCGGCCCCCCGAGAGCCCCCCATGCCAACAGAGCACACCCCCGGGGAGAGGCAGATCCTGCGCTGCCCTGGCTAGAACGGGGCCTAGATGCTGCTCTTGAGCGGGCCGGGCTGCCAGTTCCGTCCCAGGGCCGTGTCTGTCCGTGGTGCTGGTCCCGGCCAGGAGAGGCCGTGGCTTACCTGAGACCAACCTACTGTCACCTTTCTACCAAACCACCCTAGACAGAACCTCTCCCCCTAACTGCTGACCCCCATCAGGGAGAGCCCCGGGGCTGACTGCTCCACCCCCATCGCCCTGGGCCAGGGCTCAAAGGGACGCTCGATCCCTGAGATCAGCAGGGCTCTGTTCCCTTGACACCACCCATCACAGATCCCCAGCCAACTGGGACCGAAGTTCAGCCTAGCCCTGCGCCCTCCCCCGGGTCCAGAGGTCGGCAGCGTGGCTGCTGGGGACAGGACTTCATGGCTCACGCAGGGAGATATTGTAGGTCCTACACAAACGGGGGCAGACCCGTCCCCTTACACGGTCTGACGCGGAGGGCTCATTAGGGACTGGAGCCGGGCTGGGTTTAGGGCCCTCGGCGACGCCTCTCGAGGCCGATGGCCTGCGTGGCAGGGTAGCTCTGCCAGAGAGCTCAGCAGCCAGCGCCCGGACCCCATCCCTTCATGGGGCAGGCGGGTTCGCCAAGCCCAGCCCGGTTCAGCGCCCACGGGCGGTTCTACGGGGCGGGCGCGGTGGAGAAGCCGGGAGTGTGATGTGACTAACGCTGCCCTGGACTAGTGTTGCTGCGTGCCGGCTGCCCGCGGGGTGGGGAGCCTGTCTCTGCGAGCCGCGGGGCACCGGTCCGAGACTCAGCCGAGACTGACGCCCCGACCGAGCCCCGGGCGTGGGCCACGGAGTGGCTGGCTGCACCGGGGGCAGCCAGAGGAGCTATTCTACCTCACCTCACCAGCCTGGTGGGAAAGGCTAAAGGCAGGACTCGAATATTCCCCGCCCCGCGCAGACGTGACTGAAAGCTCAGAGCCCGGCCCGGCACTCCCGAAGGGAGATGGGGTAGCTCGAGCAGAGAGCGCCCCCGGCTGGAGAGGCGGAGCCGCGATGGATGGACTGGGAAGGGATCAGGAAGTCGCGTGGGTTGCGGTTTCGTTGGGGGGGGGATTAAGAGTCGGATGGATGCAGCCAGCGCTGCGAGCTCCCCCTCAGCAGTGCCGGCACTGGCGCGCGGGCGGGACCGAACCCCAGCCCTGGGACATATTCGAGTCCTGCTTCATCCGCTGCGGGGAAGCACCCTACACAGGGTGACGTCCGGCCTGCCCTTCCCTCGCTACCTCCGGCGGGAATTCGGAGCCTGCGCCCCCCCCGTCCGGTCTCCGCCCGGCAAGAGAGCGGAAGCCGGACGAGAGAGCACGCTTCTCCGGTCCCCACCCCCACCGGGAGCTGCTCTGACCACGCTAGGTGCCTACCGCTGCCGTGGCCTGGCTCGTGTATAGGTGTAGGGGTGCTGTGAAATCTTACCAACATACAAACCCTTATACCAACCATACACTGAGGTGTTGTATGGGGGGAGCATTAGCATCAGCTGCAAGCCAGCAGTGGCAATAGCCATCAGAAAGGTGGCTGCAGTGACAATAAGAACACAGAATTAATACACCCCTCTCCCGACAGCATCGTTCACAACAGTCACCAGAGCCAAGACGCACCTGCCCCCCCCACACGCTCGAGCCGAGCCGCTCCCCCAGCTTCGCCGCTTCTGGGCTCAGCCCTGGGGTGGGGGCAGCTCGTGAAGCTCAGTGGTTCGGAGGGGGGGGGTACACACAGCGCTGAGCCCGTCGGAGCACACGCCCCCTCTCACTCACACGCCACGACCAGCAGCACCCTGATTACATTAATCTGCAGTTATGGGAGGGAGGGGCACCCCACCTGCGGGGGTCACCTCGGCGTTAACCCTCTGATGGCCAGCCCCCAGCCCCGCCTCCGGCGTTCATGTCGAGCTCCGTGGTGGGGAGGGAGCAGAGTAATGGAACCTGGGTTTGCGCTGGCCCCGCGCCGGCCCTGCGCTCCGTTACTTACCTCCGGGAGCGGGCCGGCACGGAGATGGAAAACATGCGCTTTAGGGAGAGGCAAAGAGGCCCGGGCAGGGGCGGTACTTACAGTGCATGTCTCGCTCGTGTTCATACTCGATGAAGGCGTAGCCGCGCGGCTTTCCGGAACGCTTGCTGTACACCATGTAGATCTGGGCGGGGGGGCGGCAGGTTAATGACCCAGACACGGCCCCTCCCACACACACACACACTGACTGCTTAGCCCCGGCTTCTGTCTGACACAAGCCACTGCCCCACAGCACCTTTCGCTGTGCTGGTTAACTCGCTGCAGACCAGCAGGGGGTGCTCATGCACCGATTGGGGTCTGACACACCAAGATGGCAGACTCATCAGAGCCTTCCTGGCCGGGGGTAGCCTGGTCCCAACAGGGAACCACCTGGATAGGGAGAGCCAGGAACACCCTTCACCCGTGTGAACCCCCCCCCAAGGGCCCTGCCAAGCAGACCCGGGGGGAAACTTCCCAACCTGAAACCTGGGGGTCAGTTAGACCCTGAGCATATGAACAAGCCCCACCAGCCAGGCAGCAAGGGGACTGGGGACCACCTCAGAGCAGCGGTTCACCCCGGCCGGTGTCCCGTCTCCAGCTGTAGTTGACCCTTCACAGGAAGGGAAAACCCAGCCCACATCTGGCCAGTTGTGCCGGGGGGAGGGGAGGGGGAAATGCCTCTTACCCGTTTGATGGGGCCATAGACCTCGAACTCTCTTCTGAGCTTGGATTCTGTCGTGTCGTAGTTCTGCGGGGCAGAGGACAGGCTGGTGAGCCAGCTGCTGCTGGCGGCCAGGTGGAGGGTAGAAGCAGGTGCCCCGGGAAGGGGCTCCCAGGCAGCGGGAGGGAACTTACCACTCTAGCCACGAAGAGGGTTTTGAAAGCGTCTCCCTGGGCGTTGGGGTCGTTGTGCGGGTCCCCTGGATGGGGAGAGAACAGGGCTAGGCACGCGGAAACAGCAACGGCTGATGCCCCCCAGCCCATGTTCCCCCTCCCAGAAGTTCCCAGCAGGTGGGAGTTAGATCAATCCCCCCGCCCCCCAAGGTGATGGCCCCCCCCCCCCGACACTCACACATCTTCAGTTCGTTCTCCACCTCCTGCTGCCTCCGCTCAATCTTCTCTCGTCTCTGCGGGAAGGAAAGGGAAGGGGTGACGGGCTCTGGACTCCTGGCAGCGACTCTCCAGAGAGGGACCCCAGGACAGGATTCCAGGGGGGCTCTCAGTCACTA